TTTTAATTTTACTTGTTAAAATATGGTTACCGAAAATTTATTATAAAAAAAAGCATTATGTCTTTATCAAATGTCCTTTAAAAATATACTAGTATATATATATATATTATATGGCGATGGAATTCTCACAACGCTGCCCTACACTACACAATCATTGAGAATGGAAGTGAGATACAGTATTTGGACATTAGTTTTTAGAGGATTGTTACCAATACAAGTTGTGATGAAATTAATTTTATTTATAAATTTATTTATAAAGCACAAATTACAACAACTCTTCAACTAAAATGACAATCAGGACAAGAATTTAAACCGCCAATTCAGTGAGGTACTTAAGGATATGGCTGCAAATGAAGCATATGTCAGAAATTTAAAAGAAGGATTGAGTACTAGTAATGCAGTAAATAACATCAATGATATAAAGGTCCAGTTGAGATACACAAGTTTATCACTACTGGATGTTCATTCGAAAACGGACATACTTAACACTACGTTAACTGGAAATTTGAGTGATAAAATTAGAGAGGTCTATGGACGAATAACCAGTATGTATTCTACCTTTTTCGTATGGGCAGAATAAAAAAAATATCTCTTGACGTTGTAATTTTTTGATTGTCATTCTCAAATATATCTATAGCTTCTAATACATCAGATACTTTTCACTAGTCGCATGATTTAATCTACCGACTGAATGAATTGATAATTCAATTGCTAGCATGTTTCAAAAATTATTTCAAATAAATCTTGCAGACATCACCAAAAAGGTAACTTTTACGGCAGGTGTGACGTCATCCAGCAGCTCCTGGAACAGCGGTACATTGCTTTTTGATAGGATCGTCTACAACATAAAAACTAATGTTCAAATAACTGTATCTCACTTCCATTCTCAATGACTGTGTAGTGTAGGGCAGTATTGTGAGAATTCGATCGGCATCAAAAGCAAGTTTTTTTAACTTGCCTAGATAGCCGAGCGGTCTAACGCACTGTTCCTGTACTGCTAGGAGACGAGTTCAACCCCGGGCTGGGGCAGAAGTGAGTAACCTTGTAAAAGTGAATTTCTCTGTGCTTTATATATATATATATATATATATATATATATATATATATATATATATATATATATATATATATATATATATATATATGTAAGACTCCAAAGTCCGATGGTGACGCCAAAGTCCGATGGTCTCGCCAAACCCCGATGGTCTGCGCCAAACCCCGATGGCTCATTGTCTTTACGGGCGCCAAAGTCCGATGGCCACGCCAAAGTCCGATGGCTCGTTTCCTATGAGACGCGCGACGCTAAAGTGCGATGGTCTGACACGCCGAAGTCCGATGGTGCGGATGAACAATCAACGTTTATGACGTCACAATAATCCAACGTCAATCCTTGACGCCGTTGTCCTGCATTCAAAAGCAATCATTTCTGAATTCGTCCTTGAACACAATTTTTATTATTGATTTTGCTTATTGCTTGCACCTTCTAGAGATATTCTGCGGGACGTGGAGGCCGGTCCTTCGGATGAGACCGTATAAACCGAGGCCCCGTGTCACAGTAGGTGCTGGCACGAAAAAGATCCCTCCCTGCTTAATGGCCCTAAGTGCCGAGCATAGGACAAAATTTGCAGCTCTCCACCAGCAAATGGTGGCGTCTCCATATGAGTGAAAAATTCTCGAGACGGACGTTAAACAATATACAATCAATCAATCAATCTAGAGATATAAGGGTTAGTCGTCGCACGCCACTCGATTGATTAGGGTTAGTCCTTGCATTGCACAACCCGAGTGAATTAGGGTTAGTCCTCGCACCAAAGTCGAGTGATTAGGGTTGGTCTTGCCCCAACTCAAGATATTTAGGTTATTGTTAATACACACTTTTCGAGCGTTAGTCTCGCACCTGCCTGAGAGTTAAGGGTTAGTTTTCGCATTTATTTATACTTATTCTAAAGACCTTTGCATGTCGCGGCATTGAGGTTTGGGCGCAGTGCTACTATGACGTCATAAATGTTAATTGTTTTCCGCACCGTCGGACTTTGGCGTGTCAGACCATCGGGGTTTGGAGCAGACCATCGGACTTTGGCGTGACCATCGGACTTTGGAGTCCCATCGCACTTTGGAGTCCTACATATATATACGATTTACAGTTCATAGATGAGTTGGTTCGAATTTCCATTCCTGATTTCAGTTGGATTTTATTCCCCTCTTCTAAATATGTACATGTTCCGCATCTCGGATCTCCGCATTTTTTAATGGTTGGAATTTCCTCCTGTGTAGTAAAACGGGCCTTGGTCAACAGTTTTTTAAGACTTGGTGCTTGTCGTCGACTGTTTATGATATCATTTGGCTGAACTAAACTTTTCATGTTTTCCGATTGTTCTAAAACTCATCTATGAACTCATCTATGAACTGTAAATCGGAAAACGTCATCTACTGTGCCATCTGTCCGACGTGTAAAGAATATTATATTGGACAAACGGGAAAATTAAATGCCAGGGTTCGTGTGCACAAGCAACAAATTAAAGACCCTAGTGTGCGTAATACACCGTGTTGTGAACATTTCGCAAAATGTGGCAAAGGAATATTTAAGATTTTCCCTTTTTATAAACTTCCAAATGAAAACGAAAATTTACGTTTGGCAAAAGAAGACTATTTTATCAACCTCTTTAAACCCAAACTTAATCGCAAATGATACTGTATATTTCATATTTTGAAATTTCATTTGTATAATATGTAAAAATTAGTGCAAGATTTGTACATTAACAATTACGCCAACTTAACGCTACCTACATCTATTATGACGTCACAATGAACTTTATGCTTTTGACGTTACCAGGTAACCTACCTGACATTTGTATAACTGCCTGAAGAGCCGAACATGGCGAAAGCGCTTGCAGTAAATGTTTTGTGATATTTTTGGATTTTTACTTTTAATATATATATATATATATATATATATATATATATATATATATATATATATATATATATATATATATATATATATATATATATACCGGAAAAACCTAACGTTCTCCTCAAAAATAGTCTGTAAACTTCTCACATTTTCAACTTCTCAAGAACCACTTCGTCAATTTCAGCCAAACTTAGTATAAAGCATCTTTATGTAAAGGGGAAATTAAATTGTTAAAATGAAGGGCCAATTCTGTTTCCAAGGGGAGATAATCAAGAACATAGGGTGGGGTCATTAAAAAAATCTTCTCAAGAAGCCAAAGCTGTGGAAGCATCCTGGGGTAGGATAGGATTCTAAATTGTTAAGATAATGACCCCGAGGGTAGGGCGAAACCACAGTAAAGAATATAAGTTTTACATCGAAATATATAGGAAAAATCTTCTCAAAAACCAGTTTGCCAGAAAAGCTAAAACTTATGTGGAAGCATCCTGTGGTAGCTAGTGTGTAAGAAGAGGGGAAATCTGGTAAAGAACTGCATCACCAAAGTTACCCAGGTGAGTGATGTGGTCCCTGGGCCTCTTGTATTGCGTGACAAATGTTTAATTCAATCATCTTAAGGTATACTTTTTTAAGCTGATCAACTGGTTTTTAATTTGAATTATATTGAGTATAATTTCTTAACAATAAACTAGTCAGACATTGAGAATCATATTGTTATCTGACTATATATGTTTTCTTTACACGTTCATGTACAATTAAAATTAAATATACGTGAAAAATAATTAATCTGTAGGTTGTTTAGAATATTATCAAATCCAAACTCCAATAAGAACATTAACATTGATTAAGTCCATTACACAATTTTTTGACAGTATACCTATCAATTTTCATAGCCCTATTTTTTTTTTAAGTTCTAAATCTTTGTTTGAAGGATTTCATTATTGATTTAATTTGTTTGATAAAAATTTCAGTGTTTGTTTTAAATCAAGCGTTTTAAAATAAATTATGTAAAATTCCTTAACCTCCGAATTTTATTCCTCAGAGCAGTGATTTTTCATTATTGCCACAAAGCAATTTTAGATCAATCTTGTGTCTTACCGCCTAGAAACCAAGGAAGGCCTTTTAAGTTTCTAAGCTGGAATTGGAATTTAAAAGTCTCAAGTGTATATGCAACATGATTTAAAAACATTTCAATTCATCACAAATTCATAGCATGATAAATTTGCCCTTTGATGTTTACAGAGGAGTATATAAAGGGAATTCGATTGATGATATAAGAAAATACAAGAATATACAAGGAATTCAACACAATACTTTTGAGGAATTCTACAAGTTAATGTTAGTGTTCTAAATTTCTTTTGCATCTCTATTTTACTGTTTCTGTTTAATACCGGTTTTGCATTGCTTATGCAAGGAAATCCTAATATCAGCGATGTAGTCCATGCACCAGCCGGACATAATATCAATGCAGCAGAAATCAAGCAAATGTTTCTTAACTTGACAACTGAGGTAGGAAATCTCAAGAGACAAATGGACATTATACCGGTTCTAAAGAAGAATATTACCGTTCTTGGTGAAGAAAAATTGTTACTTCAAAACAGAGTATTCTTTTTGGAGGCTGAACTGAATAAACTAAATGCATCGAAACCGCCTTCCAATGATGAATTAATGGCTTGTCTACGAAGCACGAAGCAAATAGTGCAAACTTTGGCGGCAAATGAGGAATACGACAAAAATCTTACAATTCGATTGAATAATGCAGGAAATATCATTGCAATATTTGGCAAGCAGAACAAAAACATGACTCAGCGTCTCGATGAATTAGTGAATAACATAGTGATAAATGATATCATGGACAAAAACTTAACTCAACAATATCAAGAAGTTGTAAATGATTTGGCTGCAAATGAAATTAATAACAAAAATTTGTCTCTACGCCTTAATGAAGTAGTGAATAATTTGGTAATAAATGATAGGCAAAATAAAAACTTTTACCCTTAGACTCAATGAAACAATAAATAAACTTGACGTAATGAATGACAATCAGGACAAGAATTTAACCCGCCAATTCAGTGAGGTACTTAAAGATATGGCTGCAAATGAAGCATATGTCAGAAATTTAAAAGAAGGATTGAGTAATGCAGTAAATAACATCAATGATATAAAGGTCCAGTTGAGATACACAAGTTTATCACTACTGGATGTTCATTCGAAAACGGCCATACTTAACACTACGTTAACTGGATATTTGAATGATCAAATAAGAGAGGTCTATGGACGAATAACCAGTATGTATTGTAGGAATTTCGTTTGGGCAAAAAACACATGTCTCTTTATGTTGTCATTCTCATACATATCTATAGTTACCAATACACCAGATATTTTTCGAATTTCACTGATGATGATTAAAAAATACAAATACTTATTACAAGTATAAATAAGTTATTATATATTAAGATATTTTTTCATTATTCATTTGTAAACATGTTTAAAAATATTTCAAATTAATCTTGCAGACATAACCAAAAAAGTAGCCTTTACGGCTGGTGTGACGTCAGACAGCAGCTCCTGGATGAGTGGTACACTGGTGTTTGATAGGATCGTTTACACCATAGGAGGTGGATACGACTTAAGTACTGGTGTCTTCACATCCCCTGTAGACGGACACTTTGTTTTTTTTCGTAAGCGTTAAAGCTTATCCTTTGCATGGTATATACACCTATCTAGTACTAAACGGCTCGGCTAAAGTCACAACAGCAGCAGACACTAGTGGTTCTTATGACACAGGTTCAAATATGGCGGTGTTAAGGCTTCAAAAAGGAGATCGTGTTTGGATAAAATATTATATGGGGTCTGGTTATTCTACCAGAAGTTCTGCTCCTGTTACCACATTCTCTGGATTCCTGCTATATTGATTGAATATTGTAAATTCTAGTATCTGTCATTACCCGATGTTTATTGTGAAGCAATATTAAAATTGTTAGTTATTTGCGTTTTTGCATAATATAAATTACATGTAAGTGTTGTTTTGTGATAATTAATATAAACTTGAAACGAAGCAGCTGACACACCGGTGCTTGCTTTAACATGGAGAACAAAGTACGGCAAATAATCCCTATTAATATTTCTATGCACAAATTTCAAAATTCAATTTGTAAATTCTAGTATCTGTCATTACCCGATGTTTATTGTGAAGCAATATTAAAATTGTTAGTTATTTGTGTTTTTGCATAATATAAATTACATGTAAGTGTTGTTTTGTGATAATTAATATAAACTTGAAACGAAGCAGCTGACACACTGGTGCTTGCTTTAACATGGAGAACAGAGTACGGCAAATAATCCCTATTAATATTTTTATGCACAAATTTCAAAATGTTTTACATATTCACTACAAATATTTATTTTTATTTCATAGTAAAATTCATATAGTTAAAAAAAATTATACCAGTATTAATCAATGATTTTTTCTTAATTAAAACTATCTCTGATATAAATAAGATGCTTTAAAATATGTTCATTGAAGTCAGGCTCCTCACTGTAATTACCATACACAAATAATCCATATCAGACTCGTACAGAAAATATATGTGTAAGAAAAAGCGCATAATGAATTTTATTAGGGGTTGAATCCAGATTATTTGTTGCTACAACATATTAAAAAGCGTATTATTGAGAAACTTTTTTTCCGTAAATAACCAAAACAAAGAATTTATTGACATGCACTTCAACCAAGCCAATTAAAAACTTCCTTAAGATATCCTTAATAACGAAAACAAAACTGCTGCAAAAGAAACGATCAAGACTGTCTAATTCTCAAACAAAACAGGCTGGGCCATCTTTAAAGTTATATTTGCTTACCCTCTTCTGATTTGGATAAAAACAACTGGGTCGGTTGGTAGATGTGGTATTTTTTCGGCCGAAAATTTCCACAAACATGTTGACGATATCAGAAAATTCAAGAAAAAAAGGGATACGCGTGACCGAATTCTACATTTTCGAGCTATAATGTCAGTTTTGTACTGTTGTCTAATAATTCGTATTATCTGGTTTTGTGTTTTGTTGTCGAACTACGAACTTACACCTTATTAATAAAGACCACAGAGAAAAGTTGTAATGTATTTCATAAATGTGATAATAAAATCCTCGCCTTAACTTAATTATCTTTTTGTGTTTTTCAAGCCTTTGTCAGACAGACCTCTTCCAATGATATAATGAAAAATGAGACTGATTGATTGATTGATGTTTTACGCCGAATCGGCAATATTTTAGCCATATATCGGCGAGCAATGAGAACTTCAAACATAGAAAAAAGTTCCAATGTTTTGTGTACAAACCCTAATATGAGACTTCATTGTCCAAACAAACACTTGTAAAAAGAATTCATCGTATTATTTCTTATGACTTCCAGCAAAAAAAATTGCCAAATTCTTTGACTATATCCTAAAGACGTATAACGATTTGAGAAAGTGCCAGCATTTTAAGTGCAAGCATTTGTTAATAATTAAATACTGTATACAGGGAAATTTTCCCTCCCGTTTTATTTTTGCCCCTTTTTTGATTTGGCGAATTTTAAACTGGGCGAAATCAAATTACACAGCATAATTTCTTAATCAGAATTAAGAATGGGTGAATTTAAAACAGGGCAAAATTGTTTGCAAGTGAAAAAGGGCGAAAATAATCCTGTATAGAGTATTATGTTATCCTACCGAAGACTGACTGGATATTGAGAAAAGCATTGTTGATGACGAGAGCCTGTCCTAGCTTTATCCAATATTTTTAATACTATTTTGGCAAACATTATCTTGGAAGGGAGCAATTTTACTCGTAAATCTTTATTTTTTTTATATTTCGACCATTTTACATTTTGTCATGCAGATCACGCCTTTACAAGAAAAGATACACATCCCAAAGTCTGATCCTACTTCTTTACAGGTACAGGTGTTTTTCTTTTTAGCTGAAATCAATTTAAATATTGCTGCAGTACAAGCTTAAATAAATTTAAAATTTAAATGCGTGAAAAAGATACCTGATTTTTTAGGTCAAATCTGTGCGCGATACGGCTGACCTGACACACCCCAGAGAATTTTCATAAAAGAACGCCAATGAGGAAGTGAAAAAATACGATTGTCGTAAAAACCATTAAGTTAGGTTGGATTTTAATATCTAGAGAACACAGCTGAAAAAGCCTATAATGGATGATAACTCTTCGAAACCTGAAGGTAGGCTTATATGAGATAAAATACTTAATTATCAAACGCTACATATGTTAAGAATTATAGTCAACTTTTTACTTTCTCTTTCTTCAGAATCTTGTAAGATCGCCATTCCTAACCTTACATATATCATAGAACTTCTACTTCCTTTATACACTACGTCTACTAAGAACAATCAAAAAGACCAACACCATGCCCAGAAGTTTAACGAAATGCTCCATCGGACTGAACAACCAGTCAGGTTTCATTGTGTTCAGGTAGGAAGTGTTCCAGAATTCTATGAAATTCCCAAATTGTTCAAACGTGATAAAAATCTTGATAACCCTGTTCCTGAGTATGTCCGCAACAGTGACATCGATGTCTTACAAGTCGTAGATTGTTCTCCATTGACTGAGCATAATGAATCAAATCACTCCCCCGTGTCCAAAACAGACCAAATAAACTCCAATGTTTATATAGAAACAAATGACACTCATCCTGGATACTGCAGACTTCGTGTCTTAAACCCCCAAAATGAAGTTCTGCTGAACAGAAAAGGAATGAAATGTGCATCTTTGCTGGATGGAAAATATTTCATCAACACAAATCTAAGGGATATTGATGAGTTAGCTAGAAAAATATATATAAGCTATGATGACAGATATAATGTTGAACGCAAAGGCCCTGCTTTAGGAGTAGAATTAAGAGATAACATGACGACTTTAGACAATCCCTCATTCAAAGACGAATGGGATTTTACTTGGGCGATCCCTTGTCTATGGCCTGAGTGTGCACGATCGTGGATTGAACGATGTAAAAAAAGTGAGTGGCTCCGTAAAGCAGATATTGAGAAAATCCTAGAAAATGGTTGTCACGTCGTTCCTGTTGCCCATAAGAAAACAAATGGCCCCGAATCTGATATTGAATGGTGTTTTTCCTTTGCCACGACAGAAGTGGAATTGGCAAATTCGATTTTAAATGACTACCAAAGACATTCCTACGTGTTTTTTAAACTTTTCAGAAGAGCACTGATCCACAAAGATAAGAAATTTGAGGTTATTTCTTCTTATCACTGCAAAACAGTTTTTCTGCATGCATGCGAAATCTTACCTGAAACAAGATGGGAAAATCCTGGTTGGTGTTTTCTTTACCTGTTGAATAGGCTCTTGCAGCATGTGAAATGTAGGAATCTCCCTACTTTTTTCATTCCCGAAAATAATTTATTTGACGTTTTAACAGACGAGGCAGATGCAGAGCGAATTTTGAAAGAAGCGAGGAAGAACCCCATGCTTATATTACTTCCCTTTACGGACGAATATGTGCTTCAAGACCAAAGTAGAAGATCGGCATTTCGAGAGGACATCCAGCCATTGATCGATAATGACAATTTGAAGAATATACAAACAAATAAAGATAATTACATGATGGTTCTTGAAAAGGTTACTTGGAGCTGCCTTATGAGCCTCAAAACGACAGAAATCGCCAGGCTATTAGTTGACATGTATAGACATATGAAAATGTTCTTTGAAAATCTTTCGGATTTTATTCTGAGCATCATAGAAAAGCCTACATGCATGTCTCCTCCAACACAGTACACATTAGTTTTTCCAGTTACTATGTTGGTGCAATCAATACTTGTTTATGCTCAGAATAGTCAGGGCACGTCTGGTCTTCAGGAGTATCTAGCATTACTTTATTCTTCAGCATCGATGTCATATCCCATCGATTCTGAGAAATTCAAGGAAATCAAAGAAAAAACACTGACACTTTATATGAAGTTGGAAAGAGATAAAATGAGTGTTCAAGGACATATTAACTATGCCATTTTTCTGCTTAGATGCAACATGAAAAAAGAAGCAAAGGATGTATTAGATCTTTTTACAATTACAACAGGAAAGAATTGCCAACACCAAATGAACAACTACAATGTTCTTACGTTTAATGCGCTACCACGACTTTTGATGGCACATTTGTCGAAAACATTGTTCACCAATGCATTTAAACAAATCCAATTTCCAACTGTATCACTGGCTTACTTTGTACGCATTTTATGTTACGATGAAGATGACATCACATCGTGGAATGAGTACATAGTGAAATTCCAGAATTATTGCTCAGCAGACCAATACTCAAGCTCTCACTATCTTCTTGGTTTATTGTGCGAAACCAAAGAAAAATTTGTAGAAGCAGAAAAGGCTTTCATTGATTCAGGAAATTTTTTGGAGGCAATAGAGAAAGCAATTATTTGTCACGTACAGTGTGTAATACAAAGTACTTCATGCAATTCTGCAGTCCAATATATCATTAAGGTTTGGGGGAAAATGTTTCAACACTTTCCAGTTGAAGAAGTTTTGGTGTATTTAACACTAAAAGCGAGATGTCCGGAAAAATCAGTAGATATGTTCAAGGAAATAAGTAAAAGATATCCCGATTTTACTAAATCAAGAGTAAATTTGGCATTTATGTATCTAGCATATGCTTGCTCCTTGCCATTTGAGAATACAGACAGAATTACAGCATTTGGAAATTCAAAAACAGAATTTAACAGGTTGTTGACTGTAGGAGATAAACCTCCATCAGGCATAATTGCAGGGATTGGTCTTTTACATTTTGTACAAAAAGAGTGGCATGAAGGGATTGAATTCTTGAAAAAGTACATTGAACATATTGATGACGACTCTGAAAACGAGTTCTCGATATCATTGCTACATGCACTAGACGAATACCTAAAGAACGAGATAGATATCCATGGAGTTTTTCGCTGCAAGTCAAAAGCCTTTTGTTACTACATTTTAGGGAACAGTATGGTTTTTTGGTTAAAAGAAAAAGGACGTTATTCCAAAAATGACACAGATAAGACCACAGTACTTTATCTTAGAAAAAGTAAACCCTCTTCTGCGGGACAAGACAAAGTGGAGAAAAATCGAGATTCAGCAGCAGAAGACATTGAGAAGATAGAAATGGATTCAACGGAACGAAACGCAGACAGAGAAATACATGTAGATGCTCTATTGAAAGATTTCGAAAACTACTGCCTCGAGGACTTTAGTGCGACATCATTTAGTCTACTCGGATATCTTTACATGATGAAAGAAAACTGGAATACAGCAGTCGTTTGGCTGTGTCATGCAGTGTGTGCTGAATATTTAGGAAAAAACTTTTACAAATTCAAGAAAAAAAGCAAAACAGCTGGAGAACTTCAAGAATATATAAAGTCTCCACAATATAAGCCAGACGGGCTTCAAAATTACACAGCTGCTAAACAAAACATAACGGTCTGCCTAGAAAGAGCAAGTAATCCAGTGCCTCTCCATAAAATCATAGAAGAATGTTCTATACCAGTTGAACTGATTCCAGAAGTATTTGGTGATTTCACTCTAGAGTCAGATAAAGTGGGGATGATATACTTAAACAATACAGACTTGAAAGATCCAGATCCTGTTGAGGTAGTGCCGAACAAAAATTAAAAATAGACAAAGAAGAAATGAGTGTGAAAATAAAGAAAATATATTACAATTAGCGCGAATATGAGTTGCACAATAAACTAAACAATATTCTTAGGCAATTATGTACTTTTGAGGATTGTTTATATTATACATAAATACAGTGGATGAAGATGAGTGTATCATTCAAATTTTTATCCCAAGAACATCGTTGTCAATCTTGAAGCTGTCGAAGTCAATATCAGTTATCTAAATCACATCTAAATGCTATATACATAATAATTTTTATTGAAATTGAAAACAATTGTTACACAGATCCAGTCATATAAGAACTGTTCGTGGCTTAATTATGCAAAGTGTTCGTAAAATCCCAAGAATTGTAATAGAAATTAAAAGAAACAACAATTTTATGCATTCTTATTTTATAATCCTCTTATTAACACTTAATACATATATTTCAGAAACACAAGGTCATGTCTACTCAGTTGAATAATTCTTTCATATAGACATCTGCTGACGTTCTTGTTTCGGACTCTGTGTTAGTTGGATCTTGGCAATCTGTAAATTTACAAAAAATACTCCTTTACTTTAATGTAATTAAAAACCGACCAAAACAATTTTTCATTTTTATTATATTTTAGTTATCTTTTGAAAGATTTCAACATCTATATACCTTCAATCTTTGCTAATGCTTCATATTTGTTTTCTTCTTTTTGGTGTTGTAGATCAAGACTTTCATAACCTTCACTGAAAATTTTTGTAAAAAAGAAGTTGAGGAATATTTAAATTAAGAGTACCACTTCATGCACAGTGTGAATCGCTAGCAAAAACTTATACTTCATACAAAACAAACTTTGAAAAAAAAAGCTTACGTGATATTTTCATCGCTATTACCTGGAAAAAAGACCAGTAAATTTACTTTTAAGTACTGAAAAGTGGTCAAATTTTCATGGAAATAAAAAAATAATACAATGCAGTTCGAGGGTTTTGGTTTCGTAGTTCAAAACATGAAATTTGTTGAAAGAGGCATAAATTTGTGGGTCCCATAACAAGAATTCAACAAAAATAACCCATATGAAAATGAACCATTTCACAGTATATGTTTTAAAATTATTTTGAATAATTTTTTTTGGTATAAACAGCTCTAGTTTGTGAAAGGGCTAACTGTTGCGTAAAATAAATACTTACTGCCTGCCGATTGGATAACGTCATAATTCTTTTCTCCGTCCCTACTAACCGCCTTTAGTTCTTCGTAGTGCACCCTTTATATAAGGAAACTTTATCATTCTTGACCAAAGATTGAAACTGAAACCTTATAAATGATTGATCAAAACAATAAAAATGCATTAATTTTCTTTAATGAATCGTTAAAATCAAGTTAACAAAAAAAAAAAAAAAAAAAAAAAAAAAAAAACTGAGGGAAACACAAATGCGTCAGGATAGGAGAGTATATTTAAATCTGCTTTTTCTTTGTGTCTGCCGTGTAAAGTAAAGCCTTAAAATGTTTTCTAAATGTCATTTACATCTGAGGGGTTGATAATTTTAAGCCCTTTTTGAGTTCGAGATATTTACATATTTTCCATGTTTCCTAATCAAGTACAATAAAAAAGCTCTGAAGTTTAACAAGTTGAGTCGGGGATACCAAATGCAGTGATCAGTAATGCCTTTTGAATGTTGTTATTTTAATATTGAATATTGAATAAAACTTATTTAAATCTTTAGATAACCATTGCCTTTTCAATTGTTTGAATGTATTACCTTTCGTCATTTTCTTGACCTGAAAATAAAAAAAGAGAAAAAGATAAAGAAAAATTTTAACGAGAAATGAAAAGTACATTACTTTAACTATTCATCTACTTATCTTTTAAATCTGAAGTTTTGCTCGACACTTCGGTTTTCTTTTTCCTGTAAAAAAAAAATAAAGAACTCCTCTAGATCTGATCATTGAAATAAATTAAAACAGACTCTTTACTATACGAGTAAATCTGGCGTTTTTTCTCGGCTCATATTGAGTATTATTATGCTTCCTGTCAGTTTGTCTCTATATAACCCATACCCTACTATTCTCGCATAGTGTTCTAAGGATTTATATAGCGTAAGCATACTATGCCGAAATAGTGCACGGCTTCCATTTTTGAGGAAAATCCGACAACGCCCATACCGGGGAACGAACTCACGACCCCGAGATTGTCAGTCCGACGTGCTACCGATTACGCCACAGACGCCGTTATCTATAGTATTGTACTATAA